CAATAAAGGCACCCTGACGCCAGCATCCCCTTGGGCTCTCTGTCTGGCCAGGTGGGGATGGGGAAGGAGTTTGGGGCTCCTGGGAAGGGAGCATTCCCCTGAGGGCTCCAGGCCAGGCTGGTGTGGCCCTCCTTCTGCCTGAAGCCTCTCAACCCTGAGGCCAGCATCACCATCCGCACTCGGCAGGGCAAGGACTTGCCCAGATGTTTGAGCTTCCTGTGCCTCCCGTCTCACCCCCTGCCCCAGCACCCCGTCTTCCGTCCCTTTCCTTTGGGGAGCCTGCCCAGCCTCCAGGTGGAGGTGTCCTCATACCACCCAGCAGCCCCACACGCCAAGGAGCTCCCAGCCTCTGTGAGCTGCCGTCAGAGACTGAAACACATTATGCTGAAAATGTAAATGGTGACATGATGGTACATGGTGGGGGTGGGAGCCTGTCGTCGGCCAAGGAGATCGGGGCGGGGGGGCCCTCTGAGGAGGGGACGTTTGAGCTGAGACCCAAAGGAGCAGAGGGAGCAAATGGGAGGATTCCAGGCAACGAGAAGGGTGAATGCAAAGGCCCTGTGGTCAGAACAAGCAGCAGGCTGTGAAGGACCCAGCTAGTGAGGAGCATCAGCCAGGAGGTGCTGGGCCCCGCGGGGTCGGGCCAATGAGCGGGCCCAGTTGGCAGCCCCCTGGGGCATTTGCAGAAAGCTGGGCTGTGACCCTCATGCTCTCTGAACCCCAAGCCGCCAGGTCCAGCCCAGATGAGCTGGCCTTGGAGACACCATCCTTGTGCGGTGATCTGAGGGCTAACAGAAAAGCCCAAATGTGGTGACAGTGCAACCCCCTTTGGCCTATGAGGGGCCTGGCACTGGATGGAAATATCATGCCCCTGAAGGCTGACGTGGAACGGGCTGTGGGGAGGGACCAGTGAGGCCAACGTACTCCCCCAGAGCTGCTAGCAACGCTTGAGCCTGGAGGGGGAGGGGAAGGGCCGGGCCGGCTGGACCTCGGACATTCGGCATGCACCTGCTCTGGGGCCCCGCCCCTCACTGGCTGTATCTCGAGACTCCCACACGGGCTGGGGTCACCCCCGTCTGGCAGCATAGGCTCGGTGACCTGTCCCGGGGGCGCAGGTCTGTCCCACCCCGAGCTCACGCTCCCTCTCTCCCGCTGAGGTGGGAGGTGTCGAGGAGAGGTGGGGGATCCCGATGCCGTGGGGTCGGGGTTCCCGGATGGAACCGGAGGTCCTGGGCCCAGCACCCAAGTCTCCCTTCACCCCCCCCCCCCCGGGGTGAACTCAGCATCTCTGGTTAATGCTGACATTTCTCTCCTAATCCCTCGTGAGCCTCAAATCACCAGAGGAGCAGGCCATGTGATCACGTGGGGCCTGTTGGTCAAGCCTGGCTGTGGAGTCTAGTGGACAGGGCTGGCCGGCCCCTCCTCCTGGCCCCAGGCTTACCTGCAGGCCGCCAGCCCTCCAAGGACACAGGATCGGCCTTTCCCTCATTCGTGCTGGGAAACTGCCGTGAGCCCAGACTCCACCTGCCCACGGGCTCTTAAAGCCCCAGCCCCCCACTCTGTAAAGGGGCCACCATAGCCATGCCTGCCTCGTGAATGCACCTACCGCCCAAGCAGTACAGGCTGGGCCTCCCCTGTCACCCAGGGAGCTCCTTGAGCCCTTTTCTTTGGTTTCTGGAATCCAGAGTCTATCTCAGACCTTGGAGGGCCCACAGGAGGCATCTAGTCTGATCTTACCCAATGCTTCAATCCCTGCTTCTGCTGGCATACCCCTAAGAGCAGGGAGCTTACTCCTCCACAGGTCCCTCTGCACACATAGCCTTTAAGGATATGCTGCCCCCACCCCCACCCCAATGTCAGGGCAGAACAGAGAAGCCCCAGGCGTCCTGACCCCTGGGTCCACACGGCTGTGGGAGGAGGGGCCCAGGGTGGGGCCGGAGCCATGCGCTGGGCTGGCTCCCCTGAAAGGGTCTGCTGTAAAGGGAGTAGAGCTCAGGCTGCCAGACAACTGTGATCTGGGCTTGATGAAGGCAGCCTGTCCGAGGGGAACACCAGCTCTTTTTTTGCCATTGTCCCGTTCAGGTGGCGGCTGTGGACCAGGGTGACATAGGACACCTTTGTGCAAGGGGCTGGCGGGGATAGGCTCCGGCTGGCACGACAGCGTTCTCTCGGGGAAACAGCCACTCACCTCCACCCCCGACGGGGGGGGCCTGCCCGGCGCTCTCCTCGAATAGCTTTTCAAGGACGCCTACACTGCTCTTTGCCATCAGGCCCTGCCGGGTTGCAGATTTCTCGCCTTGGGGGCCAGCTGTCCACTGTCCAACGTGCCCTCACCGTTTGGTCAAATATTTTTAAAAGTTCCCATTTCATTTTGAGCAGGAAAATTGCTGCCCTGCCAGTAAATGATATTTACAAGCAGGCTCAGCCTCACAGATGCTGTTTGTTGCTTTATGACCAAACACACAGAAAAGGAAATCATTTGTAACCATTATTAACCTGGGCAACATAAAAACAAGGCTTGGGCCGGCAGGATGTGGGCCGTGGGAAGCTGGGAAGCTGGGGTGGGGGGAGCAGGGGAGGTGTGCACACGTCCCCCCCTTCCCCCCAGTGCGTTGCCCAGAATGTCCACGGGTGGACCAGACAGGCTGATGGCGACGTGTGTCTTGCCTGACCACAGGGCTCACCTATTGAAAATATGTCCCCACCCCAGGACCACTCGGGTTCAGTCAGCCTGTGGCAGGGCCTTGCCGTAAAGTCACCAAGGCCACCCCGAAGAACAGAAAAGCGTAATTCAATTAAGGAAGAGGTTGGCGGTGGGTGGGGGCGTCATCCCTGTGTGCAGGGGTGGGTGCCTGCCTCAGAGTTGGCCTCATTCCTGTGAGGTGTGGGCATTAAGAGGGAGGTCCAGCTTCCAGTTCCTTTCGCTCAGCTCCTTTCTGAAGTTCCAATGCTTCAAAAACATCAGCATGTGTTACTTTTGTAACAAAGAGGTAGGCCTTTGCAAAAAAAAAAAAAAAAAAAAAAAAAAGCCAGAAAAGAGGCAGCCCAAACTAGCAAGCCTCACCCCTGCTTGCTCCCTGGGGGAGTGAGGCCCCACGGGCCTCGCACAGTGGTGGGCAGGTGCATAGGCTTTGGGGGGCATCCATTTGGGGAATGAATGACCGATGTGCTCAGGGCTTAAGTCGGCGCACGTAGGACAAGTCATAACCTGGCATCTGTGAGGTGGGGTGACGTGCCCAGAAAGTACCGGGGATTGTGGCTGAGAGCCCAGGCTGGGCCCAGTACCTGCCACTGGCGCTTACCAGCTGGAGGGGGCTGGGGGCACGATGTCACCACCAACCTTGACATCTGCCCTGGGATGGGGGAGGGAGGCTCTATCCAGGCTGGGTTCCACCCACTGGATCTCCTTAGGGAGAGCTGGGTTCAAATCCTTGACCTTGCCGCCCTTGAGCCTCTGCTCATCACGGTGGCCTTCCCAGGAGTAGAGGCCACCTCGACTCTGGCCCCCTGGCACGGGCCGTCAGGAAGGAGCCAGAAGCCATTGGATTTCAGAGCCCAGCTGCCCATACCGTGCCTTTGCGGGAGGCAGAGGGAGGGCCCCTCATCTGGGGGAGACGTGAGCCCCTCCCGTGACCACCCCTGCTGGCATCCTTGTCTGGTCCCTTTCTGTGGGGAAAAGCCCTGCCCACTGTCCGCAGCGGCCCTGCGTGCAGGGCACCGGCTCAGTTCTTTCTCACCTCAGATGGGGAGGGCAGGGTCAAGAGGGGTGGGGGGGACCCAGTCCAGCTGGCCTGTCACATAACTCCTGCATAAAGGACACCCAAGGGGTGAGCCCTTGGGTGCTCCTCTTGTGATACGTGCTCCCTCATCAACAGGAGACACAAGGCCTGGGGACAAGTGTGGAGGGGGTGGGGCTATGGGGGTGTACTCTGAGAAATGGGCCACGGATGTCCCACGGTGGGGGACAGAGCCACAGGAGGCGTGCCGTCGGTGGTTAAGAGCCAGGACCGCCAGTTCCCTGGATTCAAGCCCCAGCCCCGCAGTCTCCGTTTCTCCGTCTGTAAAATACAGACAGTAATAGCTCCTGCTCCTTAAGGCTGCCAGCAGCAACCATGTAAAAGCGCATGGCACAAAGAAACCCTCTTCTGGCATCGTCCTGGGGAGGGTGTGAGGTTCAGTTGGAACTCTTGTCGCAGAGAGGCCGGATAAGGTGAACCCACTCTTGGTTACTGATCAATCTGCCGCCTGCTGGGTTTGCCCCTGCGCCCCGCTCCTTCCAGCCCTGCAATCTCATGGGTCATTTACTGTTGTTATTACTACCAAGTTCCTGCCCCCTAAACCGCTTGTACTTTCTCATCCACAATGGGAACCAGAACCGCCATCCTCCAGAAGAGGAACCCGGGACGCAGAGAAGGCGAGAGGCTGCTCCGTGCCCAGGGCCTTCTTATGCACTCGCTCGCTCGCTCGCTCACTCACTCCGTGTCTGGCAGGCCCAGCTCCCCAGCTCTAAAATGGGAATGTTCGCCCAAGAGACTCTCAAGACACAAAATACTACGCGGGAGGGAGGAAGGGACGTTGGCCGAGGCCTGAACAACGAAGGGCAAGTCTCTGGTCCTGTAGGTCCGCCCAGGAAAAGGATGCGGATGCGGACAGCCCCCGCCCGAAAATCCCTGCCCGGCTTCAGAGCATCCCCGGCTGGGCGAAAGGAGACGCTGAGGCCCGCAGTAGAGCGCGGGGCCCATGTCGGATCCCGGCCTGGAACCTCGCGCCCCGCGTCTCCGCAGACCCCCACCCTGCCGCTCGTTCCCCGTTCCCCGTTCCCCGCTCCAGCCCGGAGAGCGGCGCCTGCGGCCTGCCTGCTGCGCCCGCGGGGCCTCTGCTGCCCTCTGGCGGCCAGAGCGCGCAGCGCCGACCTCGGCGCCAACGCTGCCTCCGGGGAACAGGAGCGCGCTTGCAGACGGGAAGGGGGCTTCGGCGGGGGCTGGTTCTCCGTACGGTGGAGAGAAGGTGGGTACGCAAGGGCCTGCGCAAGGGGGCCTAGCCCTGCTTAGCGCCTGCGATCACGCCGCTGCTATGACTGGACTGCTGTTGTTACTCTCTGGGTAAACTGAGGCCCAAAGAGAGTGAGTGTGAGCGTGCGGGTCTGTGTGGGTGCGCGTTTCGGGTGGGGTCCTTGCCCCAAGCCACGAAGGGTCAGAGGCACAGCCGGGACTACAGACCCGACGCCCTTGCGGCTGCTGGGCCCCGCGCGGTGGAAAAAGGGGTCCGCGCGCCCTTAGCCCCAGCGGGACCTGGGACTCGGTTTCTCCCCTCGCGCAGCGGGCGGCAGCGGGCAGAGGCCCGCGGAGGTCGCGGGAGGGGCGGCGGGGGCTCGCGGGGCGTGACGCACAGAGGCTGGGAGGGCGCGGGGCGGGGCGGCCACGCAGGCTGCATATAAGGGCGGCCTCCAGGCGCGGAGAACCAGAGCGAGCGACTTTGTGCCAGAGCCGGAGCCGAGCTCGAGCCGGAGCCCAGCCCCAGGCGACCCCCCAGCCCGAGCGGAGCGCAGCCTCCCAGCCGCGCAGCGCAGCGCCGCGCCCCCAGCCACCCTCCGTACTTCTCTCGGCCCCGCGTTCGCCCCCGCGGCCCCTCCGCCCAATGAAACTGGCCGCGATGATCAAAAAGATGTGCCCGAGCGACTCGGAGCTGAGTATCCCGGCCAAGAACTGCTACCGCATGGTCATCCTCGGCTCGTCCAAGGTGGGCAAGACAGCCATCGTGTCGCGCTTCCTCACGGGCCGCTTCGAGGACGCCTACACGCCCACCATCGAGGACTTCCACCGCAAGTTCTACTCCATCCGCGGCGAAGTCTACCAGCTCGACATCCTCGACACGTCCGGCAACCACCCGTTCCCCGCCATGCGGCGCCTCTCCATCCTCACTGGTGAGCGCGGGGCCGGTTCGGGCGGCGGTGGCGGGGAGGGAGCTGCGCCACCGGGAGGGCGGCGACCCCTGGTCCGAGGGCGCCCGGCGAGGGCCGGTCCCGACGCCGCGCGCCACGTGGAGAGGTCCGGGCGTCCCGCGCCGGGGCGGCCCCCCTGTCGGCCCAACTTCAGCTGTCCCCTCGGCCGCCGCCCTCACCGGCTCCTTTTCCGCCCTCCGTGTTCCCCGCAGGAGACGTGTTCATCTTGGTGTTCAGCCTGGACAACCGCGACTCTTTCGAGGAGGTGCAGAGGCTCAAGCAGCAGATCCTCGACACCAAGGCCTGTCTCAAGAACAAAACCAAGGAGAACGTGGACGTGCCGCTGGTCATCTGCGGCAACAAGGGTGATCGGGACTTCTACCGCGAGGTGGAGCAGCGCGAGATCGCGCAGCTGGTGGGCGACGACCCCCAGCGCTGCGCCTACTTTGAGATCTCGGCCAAGAAGAACAGCAGCCTGGACCAGATGTTCCGGGCGCTCTTCGCCATGGCCAAGCTGCCCAGCGAGATGAGCCCGGACCTGCACCGCAAGGTGTCGGTGCAGTACTGCGACGTGCTGCACAAGAAGGCGCTGCGGAACAAGAAGCTATTGCGAGCCGGCAGCGGCGGCGGGGACCCGGGCGACGCCTTCGGCATCGTGGCGCCCTTCGCCCGCCGGCCCAGCGTGCACAGCGACCTCATGTACATCCGTGAGAAGGCCAGCGGCGGCAGCCAGGCCAAGGACAAGGAGCGCTGCGTCATCAGCTAGGAGCCCCCGGCCCCCCCCCCCCCCCACCCCCCCCCCCCCGCGTCGGTGACCGAACTTGAGGAGGACCTTTTTGTTTCAAAGTCACGTCCGGGCCAGCTCGTGCGCCCCGGGGCCGCGTGCGCGCGGACTAGCGTCTTCCCTCCCCGCGGCCCTGGGCCCGCGCACACTGGGGAGGCACTAACGAAGAAGGGACAGTCATCTGCTCTGGAAGGAAAGAGAACTGGACGAGACTGGGACTCCCTCCCTTCCCCGCAGGCACCTGCCACTCCCGCGACAGGGGGTCGATCACAGGCCGGCGGAGGGTGAATTTGTCTTGTTTCTGACAAAGACAAGAACGGGGGTGGGGGGAGTGAGTTAACCCCTGTTGGGCTTTGAGAAACCTGTCCTGCCCCCTGGAGGGTCAAGACCGGACACCTGGGGCATTATCTTGTCTGTGATCCTGGGTTGCCATGACAGCTACTGAAAGCCTCTGCCCTCCCAAAACTTAAGGAGGTGCTGGTCAGATCATAGCCAAGTGACTTGTTTACACGAGTGTGTGAAATTGCACAAAGGAAAACAAAACACACACCTTGCACTTTAAAAGTTCTGATGTCATCGTGGACATGAACAAAATCTTACCCAGCCGTTTGTACCGTGTGTGTGTGTGTGTGTGACCGTCCTTAAAGTTATTGTTACTGTTTTTATAAAATAAAATAATTTAAAACAGATAGTCATGCTTTCTTTGCTTTTGGAAATGGCTCAGGTACAGAAGGGTGAGAAGGGAGGGGTGGGGTTTTTACTTCTGTGGCATTAGCCTCCCCTTCCCCAGACTGGAGATGACCCTGGCCTTTTGAAAATATTGCCCGCCCCCCCCGCCCACCTCCATGGGAGAAATGGCTCCAAAAAAGCTCCAGATGATTGGGCCAAAGCCCATCTATGTGGGAATGGTTCCTTAGAAAGCCAGGACGGTGAAGGGTTCCGGTCCTTGCTAGAGCTGCAGCCACAAAGGGCCTCTGGGATGTGTCCCAGCTGTTTTGTCCTAGACTCCCTACAGGCCCAGGGCAATGAAACGTCCTCAAACCTGCAACCCACAGTCGGCCTGAGGTGTCACTAGGGCCCTGCTTTCCCAAAGGAAACGGAGCCTTGAGAGACCAATCCAGTGTCGGCCGCTGTAAGAACCATGTCCCCCAACTCCTCTCCGGGGCCTGCCACGTGGCTGGCTGGAGACAGTTCAAGATCCCCTGGCCACATGCGCCCCTCCAGCCCCTGGAAGCACATCGCTGCCAGCGCTTTCTCCACCTCCCGGTCTCCCCTCGGCAGTTGAGGGAACCCGCTCCCGACTCGGGACCCAGCTCTCCCTGCCACTTGTAACTGCAAGTTCGGGGCAAGGGACACCTGCCAAGCCCCAAATTCGTCGCCCCCGAATTACAGAGAACACCCTCTGCGTGGGGTTGCCATGAGGAGTAAGTGAGGTGTTTGCAGAGTACTTAGCACAAGTGCTGCCACCCAGTAATGCAAATCATCGGTGGTCTCGAGAGGTGCTCGGCCCTGGGAAGGGCATTCAGTACTGTCCCAGGGAGCGGTTTCAGCCCTGCCCTGGTCAGGGCTGTTCCCTGCCACGACTGGACTCCCCTCCGGGCCCAGGGGCCAGTCCCAGGCGGGAGGGATGACCCACCAGGCCAGCTGCGTCCGTCCTCGGGGCCAGACGCAGCTCCGTAGGGAAGTAATTCTGGTTTTACGCTGGTTTTGGCGTGTACGTGCCGAGGGGGAGGGGGTGCAGAGTGGAGGTTCTCACAGTTTGTTCTCTCTCCTCTAAGCAAAATGAACATCTTCCCTCTCAACTATCCAAGACAGGTGTCCTATAATGAGTTTCTCAGTACAGAAACCAAGATGTCCTGAGAGCAGAGTACAAGTTCTTTTAATTATACTCTTGAAAAACACCGTAAGTCAAAACCCTGGAATACAGGAAAGGCTCGGTCTCTGCCCCAGGGAGAGCCCTGGTCTGTTTCAGCCTCGCAGAAAGGCCCCGGGGGTCTTGTAGTTCCGTGTGCTTCGTATTTGGTCAGAGCCTTAAAACTGGCCCATACGCTGCTCTGAGATTTTGCGAAAATAACTGATTCAGTTAAATAACAGTCTCCAGGGGGAACTGGTCTAAGAGGTGACCACTACCCACCTCAATTCAGAGCCTGTTCTTCTGCCCGAGGCCACTGAAACCGGATACCCCCCTTCACAGGTCCCGCAGGTCAACACAAATGGGGCCCCTGCTAAAAACATCTTCAACCAATATTCCTGCCAAAGAGGTCAGTTGGCAGGCATCTGTTAAGCCCCCGACTTGGTCAGCACAGCTTATGTGCCCATTTCTAGATCTAACCAATACGTAGCTACTTCTCCCCTCATCTTTGACAGTCAAGGGAAGAGCACAGAAATAAGGGTCCCATCTGGCAGAAATGAGGGGTGTTATCAACATTTATGAACCAGAACTGGGCTGTAGACCTTCCGGGTGTAGGCTATCCCCGCGCCTTCAGAACGATCCAGAACCATACCCTCACACCTGGCTGAGGGGCGATCAGAGCTGTCACTCAGAGCTGCAATTCTCCGAGCAAAGAGCACATCACGATCGCCTCTGTCTGCGGTGCAGCGAATGTTGGTGGCTGACTCTTCAGTGACCAGGCCAGAGGGGAAACTGAGTTTTTAAACCAGGACCACAGGAATCTGAAACGCTGGAAGAGGCAAGGCCCGCTCACCTGGGAACCTGTGTGAGCCTGTGCAGAAACAACACTACCCTCCGGCCCCGCGGGCAGCACTGTGGGGTCTGAAGTGGGCTGGTCCTTCGTGAGCAAGAAACGACTGAAGGGGACGGAGACAAAGGGAGCAAGACCTACAAGTAACAAGAACACGTAGGTGGCAGAGAACCTGGAGACGGGGGCTGCCCAGGGCTCTGGGTTGACGCCCCCCAAAGACATAGCTACATTCACCGGCTCAAACATAAAAGGGAACAAGCTATTCTGGGGGGCGGGAGGAGGGAGGAAACCACCTGTAGTCTTTGAAAACAGTATTCACTGCCTCACGGCTTTCTTTTACCGTTTTAAACCCGTGCCGTCTGAGCGTAGCCCCCATTTGTCCAGTGAATTCTATGCAAATGTTTCATGACACTGCTGTGAACAGAACAATGTGTACCTGGTACACACTGAGCATACCCAGGGGTGGGGGAAGAGGGAGGGAGGAAGCAAAGAGGAGCGGCCTCCTTCCCCACTGCGCACTACAGATGTGCCCGCGGAGCCCGAATACACAGCAGATGGCCCCTCCCCGGAGGCAGGGGCAGAACCCTCTACCCACTCCCCAGCCTCCGGGAACAGTCTTCCTTCCACCAGCAGGCACTCGAGTTATTATGCATCTAGACATATGGATATATACTCTACAAGGAGGCCCCGACAAAGCCAAGCTCGCACGCTGGCTCCTCACACTAGTCAATGCCAAGTTCAGCTAGGGCAGCAGCCACACCAGCCCCCGCCTCTCCGTTACAGAGTTCACAGCTGGAGTCCGAAAGAGCTACGCTCCGGAGTGGGGGGGGGGGGTGGCGGGGAACACGGTAAGGCCATGTGCTCTCCCCCTTCTTTCTCGGGCATTCCTGGAAGCCAGCCTCATCTACTCCTTGGGGATCTCAAACATGCAGAGGCTCTTGTACTTCTGCAGAAGTTCGTTCTTGGTCCTGACTTGCTCTCGGAGGCTGTGCAGCTGCTGCTGCTGCTGCTCGGGACTCAGGTGGATGCCGGGCATGGTGTTGATGACCTTCCGCATCTCCTGGAACTTGGTTTTGAGGGCGTTCAGGTCCTGGTGGATGTCGGGGCTGTCCTTGTCCATACTGCAGGGAGCAGAGGGAGGTCGTTAGCATTCATGGCTCAGAGTGCGGCAACGCCTGGCTTCCTTCCCCTGTACCCCACAGAAGTCGCTGTCTTCCTATGTCATCTTTTAGAATGCCTTGTTTTCTATGTCCCCTCACTAGGCTGTGCACCCCCCACAGGACAGGGACCAGGTGCTGGGCTCACAACCGGCTCAAATGTAAAAGGAAACAAACTATTTCGGGGCAGGGGGTGGGGGGGTGGGGGGGGAGGAGGGAGGAAGCCACCCTGTAGTCTTTCAAAACAATATTCATTGTCTCACGGCTTTCTTTTACCGTTTTGGTGACAGCTGCTCACTAAAGGCACCCCCACACCTAGCACTGCCATCGCAGCTCCTCTCGGTGCGCCCGCAAAATTAGACGCTGACACTGCATTAGCTCCGAGGGCAGGGACTGTGTCTGCCTTGTTCAGAGCTGTATCCCCAGCCCCCGGGCGCTGTAGGCACTCATGTAACCATTTGTTGCAAGAATGAATGCACACATCATTACCAACACCGGGGAGAAATGGCAAGCAAAACTTGCTGAAATACGACATTTCTTCGAATTTGAGACATTTCCAGGCCAATCAGGAAACCTTATCAGCTAGCAAGAGCTAATTTTAGCTGATGTTTTGATGCTTGAACCTGTTAACATAAGCACCCATTTCCACGGAGCTATTCATACATTTTAAATTAGTTACAAGCTATTGGAAAATTTTCAGCAGGTACCAAGCTTCTCCTACCAGTCATGTAAATTCCTTGCCTTCGGGTCAAGCTCATTTTAAAGACAGGATCATTCGCTTCATCTTCCAGCTAGCTATTGTCAGCTGCCCAGAGATCCGGGCTCCCCTTGTCACTACTAAATTAACAACAGGAACAAAACCTTCACCTAAGATCAAAGAAACAGCCTGTCGGTTGCTCCTGTACATTTTTTAAAAATGAGCGAGTGGATGAGCTTTTGCAAACAAACAGTTGGGACTGAAACTAAAAGCCAACTCGGTAAGCTGTGCTAAAAGTCACCCTTTGAGGCGTAGGAGGGAGAAAACTGTCAATGATCATTTATTTTTTTTAATAAGCGTCCATCCCTGATGGGAAATTTCAACCCAGATGGTGCTAATTCATGTTTATTATTCATCATGTCTCTGCTTACGCAGACAGAATATCCATCTTCCCTGGTGATCCACTGGGTACGCTCACACCCAGCAAATGAGAGGGCCCTGTTCGCTATTTCCCAATAGCTCTAACTCAGAGGCAAGAGATAGAGAATCGCTCATTCTAGGGACTGTTAACCAGCCAAACATTTCTTGTCATTTGATGCCCTCGCTTTAAATATACAGTTAACGCGAGTTCGAGCCCCGCGTCGGGCTCTGGGCTGATGGCTCAGAGCCTGGAGCCTGCTTCCGATTCTGTGTCTCCCTCTCTCTCTGCCCCTCCCCCGCTCATGCTGTGTCTCTCTCTGTCTCAAAAATAAATAAAACGTTAAAAAAAAATTAAAAAAAAATATACAGTTAATGGTACACCTTATCCCAGTTTCTAGGGAGGAGTAATTGGTATTCATGAGACTTGTAAATCATTTAGAAAGAAGCAAAGGGGGGGGGCATCTTTTATTTTAATCATTTTAGATCTCAGCTCAAATCTACCACTCTGCATGGAATCCATCTGGATCTCTGAAATCATTATACTTGGGTGGCATATGTGTTAACACATTGTTACGAATGTAAGTCCCAAGGGAGTTTTGAAATAAAAAAAAAAAAAAATAATACAGTTTTAAGAAAACTGATGGACATCATCAGTCTGAAAGGACCCGGTAAAAGCAAACAAATGAAAATACATAAAATGAGAATTTGCACAGAA